ACCAAAAAATGTTGGACGCGTAAGGTCAAGTTTGATTTAACGCTCTGGTTTTTGAGTTTATAATAACACCAGGTCTCGTTCTGAGCCCGTCATGGTTCTGATTAGCAACTCTAATAAATTGTGAATAAGCTGCACAATTCCTGGTCGTTCAGTTCCCCATCCTGAGCACCCCCTCCTAAGAAAACACAAATTAATTCCTAAAGTCCTCTGTAGCCAAAGGTTTCTGGAATGATAAATATTTTCATAGGAAGCGAGGCTCTTCCTGAGTTGATCGGCGCTCGTTTCATTACGGGCCGGCCGGCGTTAACCCCTCGGTTTGGAGGCCTTGAACTCTGCTTCTGCTTTGAATTGTCAACCGATCCTCTGCTTCCAGATGGAAGATAACCTCGTCGTAATGAGCTAAATGTTTAGCTAGCGCCCACAGAGGTGTTCCCGGAGTCTCGTGAGTCTTGTGATCGCTAGTGAAAAGCCGTCGTCGCAGTTAACACTTTGCCACATCATCACAGTGACTCGGAGGGATTTTTCACTCTCGGGATAAAGAGCAAAACCTATAACAGTGCAACAATCTTCATACTAATAGAAATTAGAAAACTATTGCTACATTTCTAGTCTTTTCCTAAAATGTACGCTTTAGTGGAAGAGGCCGACTTCTTGTAAACCCTGGCTGTGAGCAGACGCCGCTGAAGAACTGACCGTCTTTGATTACAACCAAACCTCCTTTTGTGAAACTACGAAACCGTCGTGGTCAAATGTTGAATGTTTAGGGTGATTTGCGTTACTCTTGAAGGTTTAATCACTGACTGTTTCTTAATTTGGCTTTTCACAGTGAAGGAGAACATGGAAATTGATTTACTTGTGATTGGAAAAAATATTTTAAATGTGTGTTTTGCTGTAAAATATTTAATCTGTGAACTATATGAATTAGTATGATTGTTTTTTAAAATGTCGTCTAGTAATAATGAACAACAAGAAAAGTTGGTCAAAGGGTGCAGGAAACGTGAATGATGTTAGCATATATCTGAAGTAAACCACTGCCATGATGCTATAGGGTGTTGCTATGACGCTGCTGTCGTCTGGGTGGTTGCTAGGGGGCTCTGATATCCTGGTCTGTACTCAATCATTTAGTTATTATCATTAACCAAAATTATAAGCAATGGTAATAACGACAAATGACAAAATATTGTGTGCATGGAGAGATTTTGCATGTTAATGTGAGTAGGAAGCAACACCGTTTCGCAGTTCCCTTTCAATCAGAAACACACACACACACACACACACACACACACACACACACACACACACACACACACACACACACACACACACACACACACACACACACACACACACACACGGTCATCCAAACCCCTCCTTTTCCCTACAGTCTCATTCTTTCACCAAACAGCAGCTGGTTCTTCTGCTATTGCCAACCTTTAGTCCTTATCTTATATCTTAGAGACACACACACACACACTTTCTGGCAAACATGAGCGCCACATGTATTATTGTCATGGAGTCATAAAGCAAAGTGGTGTGTGTTTGTGCATGCAACTATATTTTGGGGACAAATTTGTAACCAGAAGTGACCAAAACCTCCCTTTAGGGACGTCATCATTTGTATAAAAATAAAGTAATTAAAGGCTTTTAAATCTAAAAATGCAGAAAGTTTTGTGTGACATAGGGTTAGTTTAAAGGAGTAGTTCACTTTAAAAAAAAAAAAAAAAAACTTTTGCTGATAATTTCCTCACCCCCATGTCATCCAAGATGTCCATGTCTTTCTTTCTTCAGTCAAAAAGAAATGAAGGTTTTTGATGAAAACATTCCAGGATTTTTCTCCATATAATGGACTTCAATGGGGTCCAAATGGTTCAAGGTCCAAATGAGAATTTCAGTGCAGCTTCAAAGGGCTTTAAACGACACCAGACGATGAATAAGGGTCTTATCAAGCGAAACGAGCGGTCATTTCAAAAATAAATAAAAAAGTTTAAGTTTTATAAGCACAAATGCTCGCCTTGCTCTGTTCTGTGATGAGCGTTCGTGACTCTCCTGTTCAAAATGAACAAATCTTTTTTCGAGTCATGACTCAAAGGGTCCTAGATAAGACCCTTATTCATCGTCTGGTGTCGTTTAAAGCCCTTTAAAGCTGCACTGAAACTCTCTTTAGGACCTTGAACCGTTTGGACCCCATTGAAGTCCATTATATGGAGAAAATCCTAGAATGTTTTCATCAAAAACCTTAATTTCTTTTCGACTGAAGAAAGAAAGACATGGACATCTTGGATGAAATGGGGGCGAGTAAATTATCAGCAAAAGTTTTTTTTAAGTGAACTACTCCTTTAAGGGGATAAAAAATACAGTTTGCTCAGTATAAAAACCATTACATATATGGAATGTCCCCATGACGTGTGTGTGTGTGTGTGTGTGTTCCAGCTGCTGTAATCCAGTGAATTAAATACTTGCATATGAAATGTGCTTAAATTGGACATTTCACGAACAAATGAAGGCCGATATGAAAATATCATCATCACAGTGCTGACTGTCTAATGGCACCCAACTTTCAACCATCACACCACACATACACCGTTATACCTTTCAGCCCTAATATAAATAATGATATTGAGATTTCTTTTTAATAACACTAATTGTATTAACGGCTCTAGCAGTTGACAGGCAAGAACAACAAAACTCAACACCACAGTCTCCCCCGTGAGTAACACGACATCAATCAACCGAGTGAGAGATTCTCTTCCTCATAATCAATTTCCAAAGGTGGCGACGGAAAAACTTGGATCGTATACAATCTAAACAAATTAGGTGTCTTGAATAAGCTGAAAAGTTCCTCCTCTCTGCCTGTCGGGCGCGTTTACACACGCCAACAGCCCTCAGGGTAAGAAGCGGGACATTTTTCAACAGGTTTCTTTGATGAAGTCATATATCATTCAGTGACTGTCCACATTAATGGAAGTTGTGAGTGTTAGCATAGGCAGCCTACCGTGTCTCGAGGTTAAAAGTTCAAGGCTATAACTGAATAAACTACTTATTGTTCCTGGGTTGTGCTTTCATTATGTGTAGATGGTGGAAGTCTTGTAAGTCACACTCAATTTCAAAAGGAATATTCTTGGATAAATACAATTTAAGCTCCATTGAATAGCATATACTTATAGTGATTTGAAAAAAGCCCTAAACTAAAGGATAACAACATGTTTTCATAACTCATCCTGAAGCTCACATGTTATGTACATGAGGTGTGCGCTGGTTACTTTTCTAAGCATTTAAGCTGATGACTGGATGATAAAACTGGAATAATCATAGAGACTTGAGCTAATAAGCAATATATATATATATATATATATATATATATATGAAGGGTTCAGATGCAAAAGCCTCTAAATGCCATTTGAAATTTTCTTCTTTAATGAAGATTTTTATCAAACTTGTATATAGTGAACTTAAATATACAAGTTTGATAAAAATCATCATTAAAGAAGAAAATTTCAAATGGCATTTAGAGGCTTTTGCATCTGAACTCTTCATATATATAAAATACCCAGAGAACCTCAGCAACTGCATTGCAAAACCCTGGCATCACCACTCACGGTTCCTTCAGAGAAAATCCAGTGAAAACCATGTTTGCAAGCCTAAAATAATATGATTATACCCTTGTGAAGAAGACGTACACTTTAGTGTATATGTTTAAATAAAAAGAGCAAACTAATGTTTTCAGACACTTAAATACATGTTATTTTAATGAAATAAAATTGCATTATAATTTAAATGTCCACATTAAATGCATTTGACTTAATTAGTAATATGTAATTTCATTATTAATTCTATATGCTTAAAGTATACTGCTGACTGTACTGACAAGCATTTTCAGTCAAATGAAATATACTTTAATGCCATTTCTAATGAAAGTGTATTTAAATGTGTTTGTATGTTAAATGATGAAGTTGCAATTAACTTGATATATTATTAACTTTAAACAGTTAAAATTAAAATCAAGTACTATACTATACTATGGAAGCACATGGATGGCAATATTCAATTTGAAATGTAATATGCAAAATGACAATGCGATATGTAAAATGGCATTGCATTCTGTGTTTAAATTTACATTTTACATTACCATTCTAGCAACGTTTGGTGCAAAATGAAAATGGAGTTTTAATATGTAAATGTAAAATGTAAATTTAAACATAGAATGCAATGCCATTTTACATATTGCATTGTCATTTTGCATATTACATTTCAAATTAAATATTGCTACCCATGTGCTTCCATACACTGTAAAAAAAACATTGATGGTTTAACTTAAAAAAGTAAGTAACCTGGGTTGCCTTTAAATTTTAAGTTCATTGAACTGGAAAAAGTGAGTTAATACAATGAAGGAGATTAATTTAACCATCAGAAACTCAAAATAATAAGTTATCTCAACTAAATAAATTATTATAAAGTTGATTTGACAAGAAAATATGTTGTGATAACAAATCTTGATAATATTTTTTTTACAGTGTAGCAATATTCAATTTGAAATGCAATATGCAAAATGACAATGCAATATGTGTTTAAATGTACATTTTACATTACCATTCTAGCAACGTTTGGTGCAAAATAAAAAATGGAGTTTTAATATGTAAATGTAAATTTAAACATAGAATGCAATGCCATTTTACATATTGCATTGTCATTTTGCATATTACATTTCAAATTAAATATTAACAGTGTAATATTAACACGTCTGCTCCATTAAAGCACGACTAAAGATTAAAGCTTTAATGACATAGTGCATTTAAAAAAAAAAAAAAAAAGTCATGAAACTTATTTTATTTTATTAGTTTTTAAGAAAGTATGCTTTTATCATTTGAAGTATATACACGAGTGCACATCGGAGCACAGTGAACGGTCGGATTGCTCTATTGCATGTGATTTGCATGCACTGAAAACACGAAGCTCGAGTGCTTTTAATGCATCCCTACACTAGCACAGGCCAGATGTGTTACCTGAACAGAGTCCCTCAGAAGAATGATTCTGGGAGGTCCACCAGCTGTCCCCATCCATGACCCACGTCTCGGGGCAGCGCTCCAGGGGTGAAGGGTCCGGCAGACCTGGCGGTGGAGATGGGGGGATGGGTAGGATGAGAAATTGGGAACCGATGGGGCGAACGTCTGAACGAAGGGGGTCGATTACACATAAGTCGGGGCTTTTTTTGGGTGGGAGAGGCGATCCTTCCAGACAAGCTGGCATGAAAGGTGGCTTTCTCCTGTTGGAGGCTGTCATGTGGAAAGCAGAGCCCACCATGGCGGGCGGTTAGTGTTACACACAAACATGGTGGCCAGGAACACGCGGTCGAGCTCGGGCTGGGCTTTTTAATAACAGAAGCCCATAAATTAAAAGTCTATCTGCAGGATGGGGAAACTGATAGCTTGGTGTTACTCCGAGAGGAGGCCTTTCCGTTGTCCGCGCTAATCCGTTTTACACTTTTCTTTGCAGTATTTTCTGGACATGTTTCTGGCTGGAAGGCAAAGAGGAAAAGAATACAATTATATAGAAATTATTCCGTTTTGAATAAATAGCACACTCTGTAACACTTTATTTTAAGGTGATGTCGTTACACCTATAGAGTTTACAGTAACTCTATAGTCAGTGTGTGTAGTTAATTAGTATTATACGTGAGCTTAAAATAAAGGGTAACACTTTATTTTACAGTGTCCTTGTTACATATGCTATAAGTACTTATGACACTCTAAAAATGCTGGGTTGTTTTAACCCAACTTTGGGTCAAATATGGACAAACCCAAATGTTGGGTTAAAAATGTAATGAAAAAATTTAACCCAGTGTCTGGGTTTGTCCATATTTGACCCAAAGTTGGGTTAAAACGACCCAGCATTTTTAGAGTGTACAAAAGTAAATGATGCAAAATTACATGCAACTAACCCTAAACCAGATTCAGATTATTTTATTTCATGCCATGTCAGCAGTCAGAGCTATTTTCATGGCAAAAATTCATTTACAAAAATACAAACAACCTATAAATTTTTTTTATAATTTTTTTTTTTTTTTTAATTAACATATGACAAAAAAATCCAGAACCTTTTCAGGCATAATCTCATTAAATATGTCCTTCAAAGAAGTAACTTCAACCCTAAACCAAATCCTAACCCTAACCCTAGAGTAAGTACATAGTTGCTTGATATTACTCAATACTTAAATATATAATTACCCTGTAACAATGACACCTTAAAATAAAGTGTAACTGTATTTTCTGGACAAGTATTGTCATGACTGAGGAACTTGGAAAGTTTGCAAAAAAAAAAAAAAAAAAAAAAAGCAAGTATGCAACTTTTCTACTTATTTTTTTTTTAACGTTTTACAAATATTTCAGTTTGAATGGTACAATGGTTATATTGTGCAATTGATTTTTCTATACAGTGATATATATATTTACATAAATATGGAGTAAAGGGAGAAAAGAACAGCTGCTTTATTATATTAGTTTGACTGTTTGGAGCCACATTTTGTGTGTTACGTAACGTGAAGCTGATTTTGCACTGATGTCAGACTTCATTTGTTTGGAATAATCTTATCTTTTGGTTTGCGTCCATCAAGTTCCAAATAAAAAGTTAATGATCAAAGTGCCTTTCATTTATACAGTTTTTAATTGATAAGATTTTCCAGAAATAGGGGCTTACCACACACTCGTTGGCTGAACAGCCATTACGTATAAAACTAATTAGATTAAACACAAAAAATTAAGTATTTATAACTTTTCAAATATTTGAGTTCACGCAACATTCTTTGCTTAAAAATATTTACATATATTTTTAAGAATGTTGCATGAACTCAAATATTTAAGTACATAACAAATGTTTTCTTGTTAATTTTAAGTAAAATTATTCCAAGTTGGGATTACTTAAAAAGTAGCATGCAAAAATGGTGCATACATATTTTAAGTAAATCCAACACATCATTTTTTAGAGTGCATTACGTAACACATAAACCATTTTCAGTTCCCAGCAAAAATAACTAAATCTCTCGTGATTGATACCTTTACCAGTATTATGAATTTGCCCGCTTACGCCAATAACGTACATGACATCATCGCGCATATATCTTCATTGTGTCAGTGCAACACTTATCAGGGTTCCCATGCTCTCCTGCGCTCCAGCATTGATGAAATCCCCGGACAGTGATGTAAGCGCCGCTGCTTCTCAAGAGACCATTACTAGGCTGTTATACCCCCACCCATCGCTCCATTAGTGAGCTAAAGAGCAGACGCGTGTGGCCGGACGGCTTTATTTACGACAGTCTGAGTTCAAAGGCTGCAGACAGGCTCGAGCCCGAAGGCAAGTGGCCGTAGATGGGCTGTTCAGTGTGTGTGTGTGTGTGTGTGTGTTTCAGATGGAAAACACCAGTTGAAATACTCCCAAAGCGTGCACAGCAACTCCCCTCAGGTTCAACACTAGCTAGAGAAAGTTTGACATTCAGATAAGAATATTTACCTAATGTCAAGTGCACCTTTGAAAAATAACGTGGTCTCAGCGATAATCTGCGAATAAGTTGATAGTTGTTGCATCGCGAGAATGTACAGGAAAAACATAAGGACTGTTTCCACTGCATTTACAGCACTTTGTGTTATCACGGAATTTATCAGCAATCAGGCACTGAGATTAAAACTTTGATTTGCAAAAATATACGCAAGCAAACTCTTATCCATTCAGCAGAAAAGTTGTAATTTTGAATGCAAAAGAACAACTTCTTTTGGTAGTGAAAAATTATGTTGGTTTGCTTGCAAAAATGTTGTTGTATACACAATAAAAGACATATAATATGTTCAACTGTGGTTTATTTAGTGGCTGAACGATTATGGAAAATAATCTGATTGCGACTTTTTAACCAATATTGCGATTGCAATTTAAAATTCAATTACTTTAAGTTCTTTACCATCTGTATTAGTCGACAAAGACCAGCAATAAATCATTGGAAATCTCTAGGCAGCTCATGATCTGATCTACTTTTTTTCTTATTAATTAATCTTAATAACACTTAAAATATTTCATTGCATGTGTAAAACATAGGCTACTTATATAAACATTTAATTAAACCAATTTGAAATAGGCTATATAAAGTAATATAGCTCCAAAATATAAAAGCTAGTAAATAGAGAGGAACAAAAAAGCATTACAAGCTATAAACGAGCTTCAGTACTTAAAAGTAGGCTGTCTGAATGTTTTTCATTTAAGAGCTGGAGTGATTTTCCCCCCTCAGTTTAGATAGGATAAGCTGCATTCACACTAATGCCCATATCTCTTTTGAAATTGTAAATGTGGTTTGTCCTGTTGGTTTAAGATATAACTGACCGTGTTAACATCAATTTCGCGTCGTAAAAGCATTTTGATGCAAGTACAGTGAGTTAATCAATGAGTCGCTCACGGCCGCATGCACGAGCGCTCTTCACAACGCGCAGTTGGGATAAAGAAAAGAAAAAAAGATGTTAAAATCCCTAAAAGGTTGTGGAATTTACCGGGATATGTTAAATAGGGAAGCCAGTGACCGGTATGTGGACTAAACCGGCACTTTTAACGGTTTGGATCCATATGAAATTCCCAACAAAGAGTCGGCAAACAGTGGGAACACAGACGTAATCCGGACAGATAAGTTAGTAACGTTAGCTGTCAACCCTCACGTTTTTTATGGGCTTATCACGTACTTGAGCTCTTTTCCCCGCTGTCTTCCCGTTTTAGTATTTTCCTGTAAAATATCCCGTATTTTGATATTCTCATAACATTAACATTAGCCCTTCGGACCTGTTAGTCTCTGTTGTCCTGTTGCTACCGTCTTGCTTTAAGCATCGTTTTGCTTACTAACATAAGTTTAACTTAAAACAGCTAACGTTACTAACTACACTTTTGAAACACATAGTTAAAAGTATGTTACATGTGTGAATGGTTGTTAGCACTATAACTGTTACAAAACTAGCAGCTTGGTGGAGCGCAGCTTTGTCCGGATTAATTTAGCATAACGTAACGTTACTGTTGCATTGTTGGAAATTTCAAATGGATCCAACCCGTTAAAAGTGCCGTTTTATCCACATATTGGTCCCTGGTTTCCCTATTAAACGTATCCCGGTAAATTCCACATCCTTTTAGGGATTTTAACATCTGTTTTTATTTTCTTTCTCCCAATCAGCTGCTTCTCCTCTTTCGACTTGCTGGTATGTTTACATTTGCGAAGCTAACGTTACCAACATGGCCGCCACGTCCCAGAATGCATCTAAAGCACGCGCAGCGTCATCACGCATCTGTTTAAAAACTAAGCTCAGACTCGATTGTGAAATTCTCTTAATCGATCCAGAATTGTTGGAGAGAGAATAAATAACACAATACCACATACATTAAAAATAAAACTGTTCTTTCCTGTATGCCATACCTTTATGCGTAGCGTGCCAAGTTGATGCTCAATCTCGCAGACTGCTTTTCTCTCGCGTGTCACGTGATCAGTGTAATCGCAGCTTTTCCGGTTACAAATCGCGTTTCATCTTATCGCGATATTATCGCAAATGTTCGTTCTAGTCTCAGTGGCTCAGGTTTGATTCTAAACTGTCTCTCAAAACACATGCATTTCTCAATCATTTCATCTGAATATCAAACTGGGACACAGGAATGGCAAAAATTACACACTTTGACACCAATCTTTAAAAATGTGAAGATTGTCTTAAATGAAATGCCATACCGAGCAAGGAAACATAACTGACACCCTATTCATAGACTGTGATGGCATGTTTTCACAGTTCACAACATCTACCTAAATGTTTGTAATATATCATTACATAAGGAACCGTGCTGTATATATAGCGCATCTGTTGCTCAATACTGTACAGTAATGTTATTCTGTATTGTCCATGTTAAACAAACAATGAATAATATTAAGTTACAAACAACTAGTTACAGTTGCTGTGTGGTGTGTTTCTAATACGGCTGTCTCTCTTTGGCTCACCTAATCTCCCAATAGTTTTTCCTTTTTTGTAAAGTTCTAGAAATGCTGTCGTGGATTTTTCACTCTTAGAGCAAATCTCAAAAATGATATCTGTTGTAGTTTCCGTTCACCACTATAGACGTTTACCCGACTATGACGGCTTCTTGGATCCCTGTAAATGTGAAAAGGGTCCAAATTCAAGCGGGTCTCAGTTATACCTGGCCCATGAGTTTGGAGGAAATGAAAGGGCAGATGTCTGGAAACACGAGGGCTACAGAAGCGCTGCATTGTGTGAGCGAGGTCACAGTGTCTCGTGGTTTCCCTTCAGGCAATGCAGTGGTCACCCGCGCCATATGGGACATAGCCCTCAGCTACGGGCGTGAGAGCAGTTTGGTGGCTTTGATTGAACGGTTGAGACGACTGTTCGGGTTGGAGAGCTCACTATAGATCAGACAGCCATATGGCAAAGCTACGGCGCAAGATTTGTTTCAAAGACAGCCGACCTGCTCTCTTAACCCCGTCATAATGCTCCTGTCAGGACATTCGGGGTATAGACCTAAAAACTCCTTCATTTTCTACTGATACCTCATTAACCTTTAAAAACAGACCTAGAGTATGAGGCTGTTAATCAATGCTAAATGCTTTTGTTAGTCGTTAGCCCCTATTTCAACTTATTTCTAAAATAATTGCTTAACAGCAAGATTCCTGGTGGAAAACTACATTACCCATGACTCTGCAGAGAAATCTCCACCAATCAGAGAACTCTTTAGCTCCGCCCACTCTCTACACTCTCAAACTACTGAGACGTTTGTATATATATTTATTTATTAGAAAATCGTGTGTTTTTTTCTGAGACAAAGTTATTTAGCATTTTGTTTATATTATTTTATAGTTTTACACATTTTGAATCGCTTTTATTTTTATATTTTCAGTTTAAGTTTTAGTAATTTTGTCATGTGCTTTTGTTATATCTATTTAGCTTTATTTTTATTTCAGTCTTAATTTGAGTCATTCAACTTAAAATGATTTTATTTCTTACTTGCCATGGCAACATTTTTCATTTTCGTTAAAGCTTTTTAAGTTTGTTTTAATGTTTAAATTTTATTTTATTTCAGCTTTATTTTAATGTTAATATAAAATCTCCATTTATATTTAATTATGTATATGCATATTTAAGTTGCAATAAACTTAAAATGTATTGTTAATCAACATCTTTAAATCAATAGTTTTTTACACCAAAAATTATACATATTTCAATTAATAGTAAAATTCCATCAAATTGAATTGAATAATCCTTACACATTTTAATTGAATAATTGATTTTCAATTCAATTATACAATTTTAAGGATTATTTAATTCAATTTAATGGAATTTTACCATCTGAAATACGTCAATCTTAAAGGCTGAATTTTTTATGTGTATTTCTCCATTTTTAATTAGATTGTCATTTGTAATCCGTCATGGGATTGTAGTTATTTCCCTTATTAAAGGTTCACTCTAAAAAATCCTGGCTTGTTTTAACCCAACTTTGGGTCAAATATGGACAAACCCAAATTTTTTTCATGACATTTTTAACCCAATGTTTGGGTTTGTCCATATTTGACCCAAAGTTGGTCTTTTCTGCTTCAAATGAAAGTTTGTGTTTCACTTGGTTCGTGGCTTATAGCTTAATAAATCTCTATGGGAAAATACTTCCGGTCTTGTGACGAGTGTTTGTCAACTGGTTTAGTTTGGCGACCACGTTCATGCTGGGTAAAAAGAGAAACACACCACGTGATGCATGATGTAAGGCGTTGTGTGGAATACGATAGCCGTGAAGACGCCAGCGCTAGCAGAACAGCGGCGAGGCCAGGTGAAGCGCCGTGCCCCGTCCGGGGTTTGTTTTAGCTCAGTTTACCACTGTGAACGGGGGAAGAGCGTTCTTTCCCATGCCCTCTCACTCCGGGACACACTCATACCAGGAAACACACTGCGCATCACAGGAAGTCAGGACTGCACTGGGCGGCCCGTGTCAGACGTCTCTCTCTCTCTCTCTCTGGACGTGTTTGTTTTCTTGGGAAAGGTTTTGTTAGGAGTGGTGTGTCAGCAGAGCAGGTGTGATGAAACATCAGTGTGACCCGCAGGACAGCTCCTTCTGTTTTCTGAAAACAAGCACAAATGTCCGAGAGTCTGTTTATATCAAATCCAGGGGATCATCTACTCACCCTCATGTTGTTTTTAGAAATCATGGAGTCACACAATTAGTTATATAGCACAATATGAAGGAGATTAATTTAATCATCAGAAACTCAAAATAATAAGTTCTCTCAACTAAATAAATTATTATAAAGTTGATTTGACAAAAGAAAATATGTTGTGATAACAAATCTTAAAAAATATTTTTTCCCAGTGTACCATTTTAGTATTATTTAAATACAGTATTTTCAGTTATCTTTTATTTTCTATATTTTCAGATTTCAAGCTTTAGTAATTTTGTTGCACTGTTGAAATTTTTTAGTACTTTTATTATATTTTAGGTGAAATTTCTCATTCTCATTTTAATTTTTTTTTTGTTGTTGTTAAAATTCTTTATCTAATATAATTTCAGTTAATGAAAACAATTTTTCATTTTGGTTAACAACACTGGTTGATGCTGCTACCTTCTGTTACAATTATGAATTAGAGTAAAAAAGGGAACCAAAATCATAAAAAATCTGTAAATATAACTCATGCACTATTTTTCAAGTGCGATTAGCTCTTAAATCTTGTTCAAGTTTACATAAAATCAATGTATATGTGAGAACATGTATTTAAACAGCGTAAACAGAAAACGATTGATTTAAAATGGCCAATCACTTTTTTTGCAGGCCAATTCAGTATAATAGACTTACAATAACTGTTTGGTTAACGGTACGTTTGTAGAAATACAATTACTGAATATTTGACCTTTTTTTTTTGCATTTTATCACAAGTAAATGTGTAAAATAAGCTCTTTTCATTTCAGCAAGTTTGCGTGCATCTCATTTTTAGTATTACACTCTTAGAAGAAATGGTTCTATTTAGAACCAGAAATGGTTCCATCCCCCGCTTCATATATGGAACTCCAAAATGGTTCTATATAGAACCATCCAAAATGGTTCTATATAGAACCATTTTTTTTTTTTGGTAAAAGGTTCTATTGGCCAAGTATGGAACCCCAGGGTTCTATATGGAACCCAGAGAAACCCTTTTTTTAAGAGTGTATAGAACCTTTTAGGGGTTCCAAATACGTAGCGCTGATAGAACCTTTTAAGGTTCCTTTCTTAAAACCTTTTAAGGTTCTATATAGAACCTTTTCTTCTAAGAGTGTATATTGATGTTTTAGAAAAATCGTAACTGATCAGCCACTGAAATGCTCAAATCAATCGAATACCATCACATGATCATCCAAAAGTTGTAAAAAGTTCCACTTCAATTTTTGCAGCTTTGCTGTCGTTAACAGTCACATGTGTTTTTTTCCAATCTTAAGTGCACCGTACAGTAGTGTCGCAACCGTTTACTGAGAAAACTGAGTGAGCTGTTGCGAGAGATTGTCTTTGTTTGTTTTAAAACATTTTCTGGGTGCCGCCCCGACCGCAGACGCCAAACATCGCTCACCTCGCAAAGTCTGACCTGTCAGATTAATCAAAAAAGACCTCGATGTGTGCTAGAGTTCAGCTGGCATGTACTGTAAATCACACATGTACATGCCCACTCTTGCGTGATTGCTCCTGACAGCAGCTGTGTCTGACAGATGGAGGAGCCCTGAGGGAGAACGTTTAGAGGAAGATCACATCTTTGTGCTTCTATTCAGTCAGACGCGACCGTGTGTCTCAGTGTAAGACGTGGACCAGGTCTCGGCGTCTGGGACCGCAGAAGTTTTATCAAACGTTAACCAAATGAGATCCGATGATCCTCCCGGATATCTGTCTTGTCTTAAAGGGATAGTTCACTTCGAAATGAATGTTTGGTATGTTTTAGCTTACCTCAAGGGCATCCAAGATGTGGGTGTCTTTTTCCAAAATAGTTTCAATTTTGATAATTTTAGGTCAAACCGTTCTTGTCTGTCAGTCATATAATGGAGGTCTATGGTCACCACCTCAAAGAGCATGCACAAAGAAGTCCAAATTAAACATGATTTAATGACTCGTAAATGTAAGTACACATTGATGGCCTAAGACACGAAACGAGCGGTTTGTGTGAGAAAACGAACGAACGATATTTATATCGTTTTACCTCTTGTAATCACAGCCATGTCCAGGTCTATGGTCACCACCTCAAAGGAAAGCACCGGAAGTGATCTCTCTACGTCTAAATTCAACGTTGTCAGTTGATATATGGATTTTCTGTAAATCTAAATATGTTTAGATCTTCACAGTGAAAGGAAATGCTTACGAAATCTCTGTAACAATCTCTAAACAACGAGTGACGTACACGTGCGAGATATCACTTTTGGCTGTGGTTACAAGAGGTAAAACGATATAAATACTGTTCGTTTTCTCACACAAACCGCTCGTTTCGTGTCTTAGGCCATCAATGTGTACTTACATTTACGAGTCATTAAATCATGTTTAATCTGGACTTCTCTGTGCATGCTCTTTGAGGTGGTGACCATAGACCTCCATTATATGACTGATAGACAAGAACGGTTTGACCAAAAAATATCAAAATTGAAACAAAAAAGACACCTACATCTTGGATGCCCTTGAGGTAAGATAAAACACACTAAAAATTAATTTCAAAGTTTAACTATCGCAATCAAAAGTCAGAGATTGCGAACATTTCTCATCAAATGATCTGAGCGTCAATCCATTTTCATTTTACAGCTCCGTCTCATTTGTGTGAAAGATATTCATCAAAGATCTGAGATAAAAACTACACTAAAGTAAACTATTGACTTCTGTAAATATGCGTATACCTCAATTGAACTCATTTCAGAATTGATGCACTTTACACAAAACAACTGACTCAACGCTGAGCTGAATAATGCTGAATTAGCCTGTATTTGATGAAGTGTGCATCATTTATTCTCCCGTGAAGCTTCTTTGAAATAATCTGTTTTGTATAAAGCGCTGTATAAATAAAGGCCAGTTGACACATTTGAAACATAAAAGAGAAGGTGCAATTCCTCTGGGAAAAAATAAATGTCAACCAAGGGAATTGCCGTGTTTACCCATATCTTCTCTCATTTGTTTTCATGCAAACTACTATACCCACATGCTTTACCACACTGTGACTTTACAGCACAGAACAGTTGCATTTCTTACTTTTCAGTACAAGAGCGAGCACGTTTTTCCCCGTCCTGAACGCCTGCCACGTCTGCTGCCTGCGGTTTATACGCCAGATCATGCCAGGTTCAGAGAGCAGGTTAGGCATTGTTCTGTTCCAGGAACAGTCCCACCGAGCCGGTTTATACAAACAAGCGTTTCACTGTTGTCTATCGCAGAATTATAATTATGTGTGTTTTTTTGTAAACCGCAGGTGTCTTGCCATTGAGAAATACTGTCCAATCACCTTTTCTTTTATGTAAGGCATGAATTGCGCTTTGTAGGTCTTTATATTTTACTTTCGAGATGCGTGCTGTTGGCCCGAAGCCCGGTGTGCGTTTTAGGTCACGTATTCCTAACAAACAGCTCTGTCATGTTTCAGGAGAGCTGACAGCTGAACGCGTGCAGGCGGAAGTACAGCGACAGGTCGGGATGAGCTTCACACTGCACAGTTTGGATTTAATGAACTTCCTCTCAAATGCATTCATGCTGATTCAGATGTAAAATGTGTTTCTTTTGTTCTCATGCAGGATCCTCTCGACCCACACAGCGATTTTAGGCCATGTGAGTGCACGAATCATTTACTTCACAAAAAAACTATTTAAAAAAAATCAGGTTTTTGTTGGTGAATTTTTCCCCAAAATCCACTTAAAGGAGTAGTTCACTTTTAAAAAAAACTTTTGCTGATAATTTTCTCACCCCCATGTCATCCAAGATGTCCATGTCTTTCTTTCTTCAGTTGAAAAGAAATGAAGGTTTTTGATGAAAACATTCCAGGATTTTTCTCCTTATAATGGACTTCAATGGGGTCCAAACGGTTCAAGGTCAAAATGAGAGTTTCAGTGCAGCTTTAAACGACACCAGACGATGAATAAGGGTCTTATCTAATGAAACGAGCGGTCATTTCAAAAATAAATAAAAAAGTTTAAGTTTTATGAGCACAAATGCTTGCCTTGCTGTTCTGTGATGAGCGTTCGTGACTCTACTGTCTCATCAAAATGAACAAATCTTTTTTCGAGTCATGACTCGAAGGGTCCTTGATAAGACCCTTATTCATCGTCTGGAATCGTTTAAAGCACTTTGAAGCTGCATTGAAACTCTCATTTGGACCTTGAACAGTTTGGTCCCCATTGAAGTCCATTATATGGAGAAAATCCTGGAATGTTTTCATCAAAAACCTTCATTTCTTTTTGACTGAAGAAAGAAAGACATCTTGGATAACATAATTTTTTTTTTTTTTTTAAAGTGAACTACTCCTTTAATGATTCTGGTTCCACAATAATGGAAAAATGACTAATGAGTTTGATAAGAGCTCATAAGAGTCATTCTTTGCTGAATTAGATGCCACTTAATGATTTGTTCGCCTTAATGATTTGAATATTGATTCTTCAAAGTTTGAGACCAATTCATACCATCTGATTCATTAAAAAATAACCAGCTCATAAGAGTCATTTGCTCTTGAATTGGATTCCACTTAATGATGCCGATTCTTTAACGGTTTCATTAATGATGTGTTTAGTACGTTTGAAGAATCGCTAACAAACTTTTGAGATGGATTTGAACAGAAAGCACAATCCAATTCATAAACAAATGACTCTCGTGAAGTAATTCATGAATCAATTGATCATGAATCAACCCCAAATCGACTCACGTGATTCACTTCTTCACTGAGTGGATTCCAGTAATGATTCAATGATCCAGTTACATGAACAACGATTTTCTTTTAGTAATTTTAGAAATAGAGATTGAGTATGGGTTAGTATAGTTAACTAAATCTATAAAAAAAAGTTTACTAAAAATAAAAAAACAAAAATTATATTAGTGTCTCAATATTAGTAAAATAACACTTGCTTGTTTGTTTATGAATCAGTGTGTGTGAGAGAGAGAGAACATTGCATTAGAAAGATGTTGTCTGTTTATTGTAAAGATTGATTTTCTTTTTATTTTCTCAGTCCAGCTGTCCTCAGATCAGTCATGGCTGCTTACGGACAGACGCAGTACAGCCCTGCGTTACCGCCGACGGGCCCTTACACACCATACACACATCACACACAGGGCTACAGCATGGCGTCCTACAGTGAGTTCTCAGTGTCCATTCACAACCACCCTAACTAGTGCACATCTCAGCTGATTTGACTGTCTGTGTCTCACCTGATCAGATATTAAAACAGAGGATGGTTTGAGTCATTCACCGGGACAGAGCAGTTTGCTGGGATACACGTCCAACTTCGGCGGGACGGCACCCGGTCAGGCGCTGTACAGTTACTCCACACACGGTCAGTGGCACAGCCTCATCTCATCTGTGTTTCAGTACGATATGTGCCCATCACCTTACATGCAGAGAACACAAGGACAAGGTTGTTAGTAAAAAGATGCATCTGTGGAACAAAAGTGTGTGTTCACACTCGATTAAAACAAACCCTGTGTTAGTGCGGTTCAGCTGAATAAGTGTGCACTAAACGACAGAATGCTGAAATATATGGCAAGACATTTGAACTTTTATTCATTTCTTGGATAGGAATTCTTAATATCAACAATTACATTTTATTATATCAACAATTGTATTTTCACTAGTGAAATGTCACCATACCATTCAAAACCAAATGTTGATATCAATAATACATTTCTTACTAGTTTAAATTCCAATTTCTACAATTATTACTAGTAAAAACCTTTATATTTGATTTTTGACAATTAGTGTGAGACTAAATAAATAGCATAGAAATTGCTTGCAGAATAGTCAGCCATATATAATATTAATATTAAAAGGAGTAGTTCACTTTTAAAAAAAACTTTTAATAAACAAACTGATAATTTACATCCAAGATGTCCATGTCTTTCTTTCTTCGATTGAAAAGAAATGAAGGTTTTTGATGAAAACATTCCAGGATTTTCTCCATATAATGGACTTCAATGGGGTCCAAACGGTTCAAGGTCCTAATGAGAGTTTCAGTGCAGCTTCAAAGGCTTTAAACAGTTTCAGACGATGAATACGGGTTTTATCAAGCGAAACGAGCGGTCATTTAAAAAAAAACATAAAAAAGTTTAAGTTTTATAAGCTCAAATGGTCACCTTACTCTGTTCTGTGAGGCACGTTCGTGACTCTCCTGTTCGAACTCGTTCATCATGAACAAATCTTTTCGTGAGTTAACTCATTAATTTCGTTCGTTGAATGAACCAAATGACACGAAAAAAGATTCGTTCATTATGATGAACGAGTTCGAACAGGAGAGTCACGAACGCGCATCACAGAACAGAGCAAGGCGACCATTTGAGCTTATAAAACTTAAACTTTTTTATGTTTTTTTTTAAATGACCGCTCGTTTCGCTTGATAAGACCCTTATTCATCGTCTGGTGTCGTTTAAAGCTGCACTGAAACTCTCATTCGGACCTTGAACCGTTTGGACCCCATTGAAGTCCATTATAAGGAGAAAATCCTGGAATGTTTTAATCAAAAACCTTAATTTCTTTTCGACTGAAGAAAGAAAGACACGGACATCTTGGATGACATGGGGGCGAGTAAATTATCAGCAAAAGTTTTTTTAAAAGTGAACTACTCCTTTAACAGCATTATTATACAAACATGATCGACCGAATATCACAAAAGTCATTTAATAAACACGATCAACCTGAACATTATAATATTTTTGCTGATAAAACAAATACACATTTTTGAACATCTATGTTTGGTGGATAATCAGCAAAATCCCCACAAACACACACAGATCTTTCAGCATCTACAGTCGAATCCCCCCCAACACACACACACACACACACCTGTTCCCCATTATCCGCGGTCTGGGCTCTGGCGTCAGGCGTCTCTCTCGTTCTCTCAGGAGGTCAGAACCTTTCTCCGTTCCCTTCCACAACACGCCGGCCATCGGAGGAGTGTGTGTGTGTGTGAGAGACGGGATCTGAGCGTCGGATCGCAGTCACACACCCCTCTTCGGCCCGCAGTCCTGATTTTGCCACCGCAGTGTGAAATTGACGTTCTCGGTCAAGGTCAAAGGTGAAGTGGCACTAGGCACGTTTTCAGCTTTAAAGGAATTGAATCATTTACTAGTCACTGGGAGAGTTGTAGTAGGCAACTTTAAACCACTTAATATAAAGTTTTGACTGTTTTTTGATCAAATAAATGCAGCCTTGGTGAGACTTTTTAAAAAAACATGAACAAATCTCACTGATCCCAAACTCTTGTAAAGTAGTGTGTGTGTGTGTGTGTGTGTGAACGACTGCAGACATAAGGTGCGTTCCATTCGCCAGGGTCCCTACGCAGTGTTCACTGCTCCCTACTCCCTGAACACGGTATATCAGTTGAAGTGGACTTCACTGACTTCCTGTGAAGTGATGTATCGATGTTCCCTTATTCCCTATGCCGTTTGCAGTGCCCTTCGAACTGAACATGTTCGTTCCCTTCGAACTGGAATCTCACTTAAGATGGCGAAATACCCTGTGAAGTCCACTTCGCAGTCCACTTACGGTCGAATGGAACGTACCTATAGAGACAGACATGACATCTACTTCCTGTCTGTCCAATTAGCATAATCAATGAGCAGTGTTGTAGTCGAGACCACCTCACTTGAGTCCGAGTCGAGACCGAGACCAGAGAGAGTCGAGTCCGAGTCCATAGAGAGTCGAGTCCAAGTCGAGTCCAAGACCAGGGATTGTCGAGTCCAAGTCGAGACCGAGACCAGTGAGGGTTGATTACCTAATTTACTTTTATTTACTTAGAGAAATCCTTTTTTTATTTTACTGAATTTAATTAGAGATTAAAAAATATGATCAGTTAAGGGTAAAAAGGCAACATAGTAGGTGGTGTTAAAAGTAATTTTATTACAATTTGTCATGCGCAGTTGCGCAATGCGCACAAGAAAATCACCAATCACTGGGCGTGTCAATCAATTTAAAAACATATATTTTATTAACATACATTAATAATCATGAAAAATATTTTGAATTGAACTCGAGTGGACTCGGGAATAAGTCCGAGTCTAAAAAAAAAATGTTCGAGTACGAGTCAATTCCGAGTCCAAACGAGTCCATGACGAGACCAAGACCATTAAAATATGGTCTCGAGACCGAGTCCGAGTCTCGAGTACTACAACACTGTCAATGAGTTATTAGTGCTATAGCAGATAATCTATTAGGTATTACAGTGATTTACTGTAATTCATAAGCACCCCGAGACATCATTTCCTGTAAAATCGTCTGCTCGTGAAATGGATGGATTTCTAATGGGTCTGGGAAAACGCGGTTACTACGTCTCGCGCTACATCTCGCCGGTCTCGTTTGATTTATTGGAGAATTCCAACAGGAGACCCGCTGTAGCATGAAATAAATAACCCTTCTCCGGGTGCCAAAGGTCCTCGCGTTCGCCCACGTCCCCCTCCCCGTTTGAAGACTTTGCTCGCTTCCTCCGAGATCCGCGGCCGTTTTGACAGAGTCATTTATCTAGGGCGGGTTTCAGAAAGAGAACGCGCGTGGACGTGAAGCGAAAGAGACGGTTCTGGAGAAAGATATCCCGGCCCTGAAAGTCCGATAGCGGGTTTCCTCTCGGCTCCACCTGAACTGTTGTCAGAGTCATAAATCATGCACACTTTCTGTGAGCGCTTTAAACGTGTCTATATTTCAGCAGCCGCTGCCTGTCGTGTTTCCTGCGCTGTGTTTGTGTTGGATGTGACCGGGTCTTTACCACGAAGTACGCTCTTAAACTAGCTTTGTGCTTCTTTTCCAGGCGGCAGCATTTCTTCTGGAATTTTCCAGGGTCCAAACAGCATCACCGGCTCAACGCCGTTCAGTCCCGCACAGCAGGTGTGTCACATGGCTACAATACAATTACAGTTTCACTTAAGCCATCGATGCTTCTTCCTAAGTATTTTTCTGTTGTTTCCAGTACAAATAGCTCAATATTCTTAAAGGAGTAGTTCACTTTAAAAAAAAAACTTGTCATCCAAGACGTCCATGTCTTTCTTTCTTCAGTCGAAAAGAAATGAAGGTTTTTGATGAAAACATTCCAGGATTTTTCTCCATATAATGGACTTCAATGGGGTCCAAACGGTTCAAGGTCCAAATGAGAGTTTCAGTGCAAATTGCAAACTGTTCAAAGTGCTTTAAACGATTCCAGACGATGAATAAGGGTCTTATCAAGCGAAACGATCGCTCATTAAAAAAAAAAAGCTCTGTTCCTGTTCAAACTCGTTTATCAAAATGAACGAATCTTTTCCTGAGTCAACTCGTTCATTTCGTTTTGTTGAATGAACCAAATGAAGCGAAAAAAGATTCGTTCATTTTTATGTGAACAGGAGAGTCACAAATGCGAACATGAACTAATAATCTGAAGAATTTAGTAATACTGTATATTTCAACATTAGCGAATATGTATTAATAGACCTGAGCTGACATGAACTAACAATGAACAGTATTTTTTTATTTACCAAAGATTAATAAATGCTGTAACAAATGAATAGATCATTAATGCATTAACTAATCTATTTTGTCAAGTATTACTAAGATGGAGTTATTATGGTTTATGAATTTAGAGAACCAAGACACTGCCACAGTGGGGTTTAGATGGACTTAAATAAAAAAATGAGATAGAAAAGAGATTTTTCATTCATGTCATTGTCTCCATCAGGACTTCTCAACATATTCTAGCTACAGCCCAAGTCAATATTCTCCATACTACAACACACACTACAACAGCCCGTACATCACCAGCAGCAACATCACACCCTCCGCCATCACCACGGCGATACCCTATCAGCACACAGATCACGCTGTATCGACCAATCACAGCCCAGAATCCCACACAGGTGAGCTCTATGGTGAGAAACCACATATATTGGGGATAGTAAGGAACATTTTTTTTTTTATTATGTCTTTATATATATGCAATTGGAGAATAATGGTCAATATATAGGGGATACTTTTATAAATATTGTGAAAAAGTTACATAAAGTATATATTTATATAAAAAAAGAAATACTTGAAATAATCCAAGTTGCTTTAATATCCAGATGTTTGACAATATGTGATTTGAGTATAAAGCAAAGCTCAATATTTAGGGAATAAAAAAAAAGTCGTTTTCCAAAAAAAATCATGATTTTTGAGTATATGCCTCTCTATCATTTGAATGTAAAGTATACTACAAAATATTAACATAACCAAAAATATACTGTATCATTTTTATGCATGTTATGCATGATGTATTTTGGTATTTAACACAGTATCGCTAATATTTATTAGCGATACTGTATTAAACAAAAAAATTGTTTTTATATATATTTTTTTAAATATTTATTTTGCTATTCAGATATTTGGTTGTACAGTCAAACCAAACATTTATTCCTTCAGCATTTCTCGAATTATCACACTTTATTCGCTATAGTTTAGAAAATGGTAATAAAATATGAAGAGTTATTAAATGAGGTGATATTTGACTGGTTTTGTCCGTCCTTCTGTTAGACTCTCACACATGAATTATGTTGAATATCTGTATAAATATAACTACACAATTAGAGAATACCAGTTTAGCTCAACCAGTGACCAAGCAATGCTTCATGTTGTTCAGTGTGTGTGTAAAAAGAGCATTAGCAATTACAGAAAACACACGTCTGGATAATATTTGGTCCCAAATTTTTACTAGTAGTCACTGTATGAAGAATATAACTATAGTGTCCTGCACACACTAGTAAAAAATATCAAAAATCTGGTGTCTGAATAATTTTTGATTTGACCGTATGTCTCTATTTAAGCAACGTCATCATGTGTGTGTGTGTGTGTGTGTGCACCAGTAGAGTACCACGCTCCCACGAGTCCTCCGACTCCAGGAAAGGATCAGGAAGGCGCTCCGGCGAGACGCAGTTCGGATGTGAAGCTCAGGGGCCGGAAACGGGCCAATGACCCCGGACCCCCTCTGGACTCTGACATCGAGGTACAGATGCTGGCATTCACGGTGTCCCTTACACAACATTCACCACAGGGACAGCTTTCACATCCAACAGGCCAGTTGTGCAATGATATCTGGCAACAACCTCACCATAACTCCAGTTTAAAGGGATAGTTCGCCTTAAATGAATGTTTTATCATCATTTACACTCCCTCGTGTCGTCCCAAACCTGAAAAAAAGCTGTCTTTTTCATTAAATGGACTGATACAAGTTTTTAAAAAGCACAATAAAAGTTTATGCATGCTTTGAACAACAGCCGACTGAAATAAATTCGTATTTTCTTTGCTTTACAAAAAGCTCTTCAAATATAAAGAAGTATTTAATTACCAGACAAAAAAAAAAAGCATGAGATATGGAGCGTTTGCCCTTGAGCTGTGAAATGATTACAATTATCAGACGTTTTTATCATAAACACAACGTTGAGATATTATACAGTGTTTTGTAGTAAATACTTCTCTTGACTAGTAAGCAGATTATATTTGTGCTCATGCTCATGTGTGTGTGTGTGTGTGTGTGTGTGTGTAGAGAGTGTTTATTTGGGACCTGGATGAGACCATCATCATTTTCCACTCGCTCCTCACGGGGACGTTTTCCACACGCTTCGGCAAGGTACAAACCGGTTCCTCCACTCTCACCACTCACTTTACAACACAACGCTCGGTTTTATTGGGGGACTTTTGAAAAAGTTGTTTGTGTATCTTTTAATGTCTTTAAACTATCTCACAATATAGTTTTTTTGGCAGTTAATTCAACTCCATATATTAAATAACAATGAAATGATGATTACTTTTTTATTAATCCAGAATGCAGATATACTGTGTGTATATGTGTGTGTGTGTGTGTGTGTGTGTGTGTGTGTATTTATATATATATATATATATATATATATATATTTATATTAGGGGCTGTCGAACGATTAATCGCATCCAAAATAAAAGTTTGTGTTTACATAATATATGTGGGTGCACTATGTATAATTATTTTATATATATAAATACACACACATGCTTGTATATATTTAAGAAATATTTTCATGTATATAATGTGTATAGATTTATATATAATTTATATTATATATAAATATAAATATTTCATAGATAAATATTTTTTTTTCTTAAATATACATGCATGTGTGTGTATTTATATATGTAGAATAATTATATAAAGTGCACCCACATATATTATGTAAACACAAACTTTTATTTTGGATGCGATTAATCGCGATTAATCAGCTCTTTATTTTTTTACAGTATTTTTGTCAAATAAATGCAATCTATATATATATATTAGGGCTGTGCAAAAATTAATTGCAATTAATCGCATCTAAAATAAAAGTCTGTGTTTACATAATATATTTGTGTGTGCTGTATATAATTATTTTGTATATATAAATACCTATGCATGCATGTATATATTTAAGAATTATTTGCGCTTAAATTCTGTATATATATATAAATACATAATCTATATTATATAAATATAAATATTTTATATATGAATAACACATTTTCTCAAATATATACATGCATGTGTGTGTATTTATATATACAAAATAATTATATACAGCACACACAAATATATTATGTAAACACAGACTTTTATTTTGGATGCGATTAATCGCAATTAATTTTTGCACAGCCCTAATATATATATATATATATATATATACACACACACATCTTGTTTATTATATATTTGTTATTTCATTTATTTGTAATCAAATGTACTGTAAAGAAAGAAAAAAATTGCATTTAAGTATTTGAACTATTTTCGTAAATAAATCTGTTTGCACAGCTGTTTTAGAGTAAGAAACCAAATGCGTAAGAATGAAATGAACAGTGAAAGATATAACGAAGCTCCGGTCTTGTTATTTGGCCGCTCTGATTTGATTGACGCCACATGAACTTCTACGCAATCTCCAGGCAGCTGATGAGGAAACAATGGTCATGTTTCTTTTTCTTGGCCCGCAATCTATTTTGAATTCCCACGATCCCTTGCGGATTTGACGTGACACATAAGAGACTCTGAGAAACGCCTGGCCGTCTCCGGAGCGCAGCTCTTTTGGATTTTCTTTTTGAGGACTGCAGAAATGTTACCGTGACTAATGTGTCTAATTTCAGATCCAGGAAAAAGACTCCAAAATAGCTCATTACTCGGGCAGGACTCCACTGGAGATAAAAAAAATCAAAGAAAACATCCATATAAAACTCCAGTTAAATAGGAACAAGTTTGATGTGTGTCATGACAAAGCTGCTTACCGTCTGACAAAGGGCCGCGATTGCATTGGCTCAGATTTCGCATCTTTAAGTAACATGATATTTAACTCGTTTTTCTTTTGATTCGTACTTTATGTCAAAGCCACAAGCCCATCACTGTAAACAGCCTGTCTGAGCTGTGATTGGCCCACAGCAAGACTCCTCCCACTGAATACAAAAGCACTTTGAGTGTTGAAAGACGCCCGTCTTCTAATGTGTTTTTTCAAGCTGAGGTGAACGTCAGAGGTTACTGGAGTCTCTTTACCATTCCACATGTCATTTATCCTTGGTCAATCTGTATACACACTTAACTTAACGTCAAGTTATGTTTTTTCCTGTCCAAATTATCACAATCATTTATGGCACCCCCTCAATAATTAATTTATTTATTTATCTATCTATATCTATATCTATGTATATATATATATATATATATATATATATAATTAATAATAATAATATAAATTTGTATATATATATATATATATATATATTCATATTTCATTTATTTAGATTTTTTATCTTATTTTTATTATATATATATATAATTTTATTATATTTATATATATATTATA